GATGAGTCTCAGCATGGTGAAATAGTTAGAGATTTGAATTTCTGATTATCTTTTTACCTGAAATATTTTTAAAATTATAAATCCAATACATCATTTGTGAGACAATGGCATCTAAAGATTGGTAGAGAATGTATTTTCTCCCCCCATCTTTTGGTCCCTGTAGTCAGAAGTAATAACAGCTTGTTATCAATGCTAGAATTACAGATATTGTTTCTGCTTGCCATGAGAAATGTCAGCCTATTAATTGCTTATCTGCCATGTTCCTCCAATGGAAGCTGTAATTAACCTTTTCATTTTATGTCTGACTCATCTGTTCTTTAAAACAATAATAAACATTGGAGAGCTTTGGTGTTTTCCTATATAACAATGCCCATATGAGCCATTTCCTTTCTCCATCTGCCCCTGGCTTTTCTGATCACACTCCAGCACAAGAGACTGGAGCAAGCTGCATCATGTCAGCCTCTGGTCTGCGTCAATGTGACATAAAAGTAGCTAGGGAGACAATGTCCCTTATATGTTTCTCTTATTTTCATTGTGTTTATTACTGAATTCTTCCCTTCTCTAAGCATCATATCTCCTCCTTTAAACTCTTTGCCTTGTTGTCTTTACTTGACAATTTATCTAACATTGTTCAGCCTTCTGCATGCCCTAAAACTGAATAAGGGAGTGTGAGCTCAGATATGTCTTTATAGATGTCTGATGTTCTAAGAGTAAAATCTCAAGAGGTGAGCTATGCTCACAACTAGATACTGTAGTTTGGGGTGCTTTAGAAATACAATATAGACAGAAAAGAGGCCATCAAGGCACTTCCTAACTTATTTTAAAATCTCCTTACCAAAAGAGAATCTGCCATCCTCCAAGGCTAGGGATGCCCTTGGTCATTAAAAAAATAAACAAACAAACACAAGGATCCCCAAAATGGCAGGGGGAGGGGGAAGATATCCCTGAATGGGAAATATTGACATGAGGCTAGAATAGTGTGGGATATCTAACAAGATATGAGCTTAGTAGTGATATGGTGGCCAATAGCTTGCATGACCTTCTCATAAGCAAACTAGGGAAATACAACCTAGATGGAGCTACTATAAGGTGGGTGCATAATTGGTTGAAAAACCATTCTCAGGTAGTAATTATCAATGGTTCATATTCAAGCTGGAAGGGCATAATGAGTGGAGTCCTGCAGGGATTAGTTCTAGGACTGGTTCTGTTCAACGTCTTCATCAATGATTTAGTTAATGGCATAGAGAGTATACTTATAAAGTTTGCTGACGATACCAAGCTGGGAGGGGTTGCAAGAGCTCTGGACAATAGGATTAAAATTCAAAATGATCTGGACAAACTGGAAAAATGGTCTGAAGTAAATAGGATCAAATTCAATAAGGACAAATGCAAAGTACTCCACTTAGGAAGGAACAATCAGTTGCACACATACAAAATGGGAAATGACTGCCTAGGAAGGAGTACCGCAGAAAGGATCTGGGGGTCATAGTGGATCACAAGTTAAATATGAGTCAACAGTGTAACATGGTTGCAAAAAAAACCAAACATCATTCTGGGATATACTAGAAGGAGTGTTATAACCAAGACACTAGAAGTAATTCTTCCACTTTATTCCGTGCTGATTAGGCCTCAACTGGAGTATTGTGTCCACATTTCAACAAAGATGTGAACAAACTGGAGAAAGTCCAGAGAAGAGAAACAAAAATGATTAAAGGTCTAGAAAACATGATCTATGAGGGAAAATTGAAAAAATAGGGTTTGTTTAGCGTGGAGAAGAAAAGACAGAGGGGACATGATACGAGTTTTCAAGTACATAAAAGGTTGTTACAAGGAGGAGGGAGAAAAATTGTTGCCTTTAACCTCTCAGGATAGGACAAGAAGCAATGGGCTTAAATTGCAGCAAGGATGGTTTAGGTTGGACATTAGGTAAAGCTTCCTAACTGTCAGGATACTTAAGTACTGAAATAAATTGCCTAGGGAGGTTTGGAATCTCCATCATTGGAGATTTTTAAGAACAGGTTAGAAAACACCTGTCAAGGATGGTCTAGATAATACTTAGTCCTACCATGAGTGTAGGGGACTGTACTAATGACCTCTCAAGGTCCCTGCCAGTCCTATGATTCTATCCCCAGACGCTCAATTACTAATGTCTACAGCTCTGTCCTGGGCTTGCTTTCAATTGTTTCTCAACCCCAGTATGGCACCATGGTCCCAGGGCTTCCTCCCTGAATACTCTTTGCCTTTGGTGGCAGTCTCTGACCAATATTCCCTCTAATTTTTGACAGGCTGTGTGCGCAAAAAATTTCTTCTGTTCAAATTTTTGACAGGCTGTGTGCGCAAAAAAATTCTTCTGTGCAAATTGTTGTGCTTCTGTGCAAATTTTTCTGTGTGCGCGGTGTTTCGCCATGTGCGTGGGGTTTAGGATCTGTGTGCGCGCGCACACGTGCACAGTTTAGAGGGAACAGTGTCTTTGACCCCAACTCTCCAGCTGAGTCACTCTTCACATTGGTCTCCTTCTGGGGGTGAATCAGAGTCCACAAATACTGACGCTCATCAGAGTCTTCAGCCCCTTTCTCTGGGCCTTCTACACTCCCTTCCCAGAGGTTAGGCCACTCTGCCTGTGGCTGGGGGGGGGGGGGGGGCAGAGCCCCCCCCCCCCACTCTGAGCCCCAACCCAGGGACTCTATGAATAGCCACTGGTACTGTTTCCTGGGCCACTTCCCAAGCAGTCCCTTCACCTTCGACCTTACCTCAGAGTTCTTCCAGCTTAAGTCCCAGCAACCAGCCAGGAGCTACTTCTTGCTCCCCCAGTCCCATCTAGCAACTTCTCTGTCACTGCTACTGCATCTTCTTCAGCCAGCCAGGAGCACCACTCTTACTTCTCTAGCTCCAGGCAGCAACTGAAGTTTTCTAGACCTGCAGACCCTTTTATATGAGCCTGCTAGGCCCAGATTATATGCTTCCCTGAAGCCTCTCCCTGATTGGATGTTCCCTTGCAGCTCCTTTCTATGCCGCCCAGAGTACTCACCTCTACTTCTCCCTTTTTGGGACAGGGTGTGTAGGCTCTAGCAGGGGAGCTCAGGGCCTGGTATACCCTTGTCACACACACCATTCATGATTTTATAGACTTCTATCACTGTGGTTCTCAAACTTTTGTACTGGTGACCCCTTTCACATAGCAAGCCTCGGAGTGTGACTCCCCCCCCCCATATAAACTAAAAACATTTTTTTTAATTTAACACCATTATAAATGCTGGAGGCAAAGCAGGGTTTTGGGTGGAGGCTGACAGCTCGCGACCCTCCATGTAATAACCTCATGACCCCCTGAGGGGTCCCGACCCCCAGTTTGAGAACCCCTGCTCTATCATATCCCCTCTTAGTTGTCTCTTTTCTAAGGTGAACAGCCCTAATCTTTTTAGTCTCTTCATGTATGGAAGCCATTCCATATCCTTGATCATTTTTGTTGCCTTTCTCTGAATCTCTTCCAGTTCCACTATATCTTTTTCAGGTTCAGCCACCAGAAATGAACACAGTATTCAAGGTATAGGCACACCATGGATTTATATAGTGGCATTATAATTTCTATCTTATTTTCTATCCCTTCCCTAATAGTTCCTACCATTCTGTTAGCCTTTTTTACCACTGCAGCACACTGAGCTCAAGTTTTCACTGCAGTGACTCTTTTTTGCAAACTCTAATTCCAATTAAGAGAGTTGAAAAGATTTTAAAAATCAAAATAAAATTATAGCAAATAATTATTTTTGTCTAGAGACAATGTTGATAAACAAAAAGTTGGTCCAATAAGTGTCCAAGAAATCAGCCTGGGACTGTCTGCCTCAAAACTGAAGGGGGCCTTAATGTTTTGTTTTTACAAATAATCCCCACATTCTGAGTTTAGAACTAATCTGTTCTTCCTGGAAAATCCCATCCACACATAAAATAGTAAATTAACTTCTAAATTGCAATTCTTTCTAAACTGCACATTTACTGCCCAAGGAGTCACTACATTTGTGTCAATTAATTGAATGTTTGATACTCAGTGGGCTGTCACTATGCATTAAAAATATTAACAGTAGTACTCAGTGGGATGCTGGACAACACTTGGATCTTGGATGTAGGCCAGGGTTGTGAAACCCTGCAACACACCAAGCAGCAGTGTATTTGTAATTCTCAATAGCCAGTGTTTGTTTAATCAGATAAATCAGAAAAAATTCTAGTGATAGAGGATCAACCCAAACCAGATGAGAAAGAGAAATTACCTCTCTGTTAGCTGCTCAATTTTAAATACTTTGCAGTTGTCAGTTCAGGTCTTAGATCAACTTCAAGTTCCCATGAAAAATCAGACACATCACAAAAAAATCAGTGTTGAATATAAAGAGAGGAAAAACTGAGAGGTAGCATCTCACTAACATGTTTGTTAAGACAACTGGCTTCTTCCCCAGTGCCCACAATAAGTTGTCATATTTATTCATGACAAAAAGTTACTCCCACCTCCAGATTTTCCTGTATGTTATCTAGATAACAATGTGTTTTCGATTGTAAGCTCTTTAGGGGCAGGAACTGTCTATTTTTGTGTAGAATATAGTATAGAGCACATTGCTGGCACTAAATACTATATTGAAGTTACAGTGTTGTCTGGTAAATGATTTCAACCAGTAACAATGTGTAATGGCAGTATTTCAGTTCCTAGTCAAGGAGACACTTTCCTTAATATACCACTCCCTTACCCTCTCTTCTAGGATAGAAAATCTAGGCACAGACACCAACAAATAAGGTTCCAAACAGCAGCTCTCCACAAAATAAGTGGAGTTCAGCCCTGCACAGAGGGCCAACACAAGGACTAGGCAGCACTTCACATAAGCCCCCCAAATATGATGTAAGTAGGACTAAAGTAGTGCCTAGGCCTTGGTGGTGGCCCGCAGCACAGGGGTGAATTTCACCTATTATCAGCTTTGCCTGCTATGCTTATGAATAACTGGAGAATAAGAAACCAGTGTTACCTGTGGAGTAATCTGCATGACTTGTAGGATCCTGCTCTGCATAGATTAACTATGTTGATCTCTCTGTAACCCAACAGGTGCCTGAGGGGTCCTTCTCTCTGATGGGAGGGGCTGTTGCAGCTTGTACAGGTCAGTTTCTGACCCCCTGAATGTCCTTTAGAAAATGAAAATAAAAAATCTGAAGTTAATTTGAGCTCAATATGAAAATAAGGCAGATTTGTCTGGGCTGCGTTGGTCTCATCTGCTGTGTGTCCCGTCCTCCTCCCACCCCCAGTGAAATCCTAGCCATCTTGAAGGCAGTGACAAAACTCCCATTGACTATAACCGGCTCAGCATTTTACCCGGGATTATAAGAGCCCTGTAGTAGAGTCAGAGCTTCTCCCACAGCGACTGACACTTACTGGGTGGAAAGCAGCAGCAGTAGCCCTATTTTTGATCCAATGGGCTGTCAGGTCGCCCCGGCTCTAAAAGCCAGGCAGCGATCGCGCTTCCCCTCCTGCCCAATGCGTGAACGCACTGACCCCAGCCCGTGGACCCTCGCACCCTGCAGAGGGTGATAGCAGAACGGGGGGCGACCCGAGTTTCCTTTGCCTTGCCATCCAGAGCGGGGTGCCCAGGCCCGCGGGTCTAGGAGCGGCTCGTGCCGCCGCCCTCCGAGCTCTCTGGCGGTTCTCAGGACAGCGCCCGCGGGGGCGTCACTGCGGGGAGGAGGCGGGGAGGAGTCTCGGAGCCGAGCCGGCACAACCCGAGCTTGGACGCAGCTGCAGCACCCTGGACAGCCCCAGGTGGCTGCTGCTCGCCGCCGGCTGCTGCTGCTGCCTGGGGGCTGGAGGCCAGGGCACTCCGGAGCTTTTAGGCCCATGGGCTCCCTCCATCCAGCGAGAAGGAGCTGGTGAGTGCCAGCCCGAGGGGGCTGACGACATACCAACACCAGCTTGGTAGGAGGCAGGAATCATAGAATCATAGAATATCAGGGTTGGAAGGGACCTCAGGAGGTCATCTAGTCCAACCCCCTGCTCAAAGCAGGACTAAGCCCCAACTAAATCATTCCAGCCAGGGCTTTGTCAAGCCTTACCTTAAAAACTTCTAAGGAAGGAGATTCCACCACCTCCCTAGGTAACGCATTCCAGTGTTTCACCACCCTCCTAGTGAAAAAGATTTTCCTAATATCCAACCTAAACCTCCTCCACTGCAACTTGAGACCATTACTCCTTGTCCTGTCCTCTTCTATCACTGAGAATAGTCTAGAACCATCCTCTCTGGAACCACCTCTCAGGTAGTTGAAAGCAGCTATCAAATCCCCCTCATTCTTCTCTTCTGCAGACTAAAGAGGGGCTGTGGCCGGCAGCACCCGGTGGGAAGCAGTCGATGGAGTCCTCACAAGTCAGCTGCCTGCTCCGAACCCACCAGAACCCTCTTGTGCTTTGCAGCTCGGGGCTTTGCAGGAGGCTCTGGAGAAGCTGCAGAAAAAGTGGATTCCACCCTGGGGCAAGAAACTGGGACAAGTGCCAGTGGTAAGGCTCCTTAGACAAGGTATTCTGTAGCCCCGGGCAGGCCAGCCTGTGCTCCCTTGAGCGCTTCGCAGAGCGTCCCTCGGCACCCTCCTTCCAGACTCAGGGAAGCCGGCACTCCTAGGGTGGTTCCTAACCTGAGTGCAGCTCTGCTGCTCTCTCCACTTTCTTACAGGGAATTTGCTCACTTCCTATTACCAAAAGCAGGTCTTGGGGCATGGCCACTGAACGCACTTCTCATCCCCACAGCGGGGCCCTTCAGCACAAGAGTCAAACCATGGGGGAGAAAGGTTCTGGCGTCCACATATGATGAGTTCTAAATATCTAGATAACAAAGACAGATATTGGGGAGGGTGAATTATGCTGAGGCCAAAGAGAGGAAAGGGGCATTTTCACCAACACCAAACCTGAGTCACTAAAGAAACTTTCTTGCCTTTCTACTCTGCTGCAGAGCGATGTGGGGGAGCTATGCGCTGTCAGAAAAGCCTCCCGAATTGGGAAGCTGTGCAATTGCCCCAGAGGTGCCACCTGAAATTTTTTTCTGCTGAAATGCTTGTAAATCTCAACCCCTCCAGGAGCTAAGATAACAAAAGAAACCAAATCCTGCTGAACTGTGCTTGACAGGCACGGCTTTGTCTTTGTTGTTGTGTTTTTTCTGCTTAGCTAATAATCTCTCCATGTAAAATACTTATATCCTTTGTAAAATATTTTTTCTCCCTCTGTATTTGTCCTCAGATTAGGAGCGAAGACCATAGAGGTAAGGCTTCACAACACTTATTAAAGATCAAAACATAATAATTTAATTGGAAATGAAGATTTTTTTCATAGATGAGTCCAAATATTTAACAGAATTAACTCAATGTAATCATAAAAAGGAGTACTAGTGGGACCTTAGAGACTAACCAATTTATCTGAGCATTAGTTAGTCTCTAAGGTGCCACTAGTACTCCTTTTCTTTTTGCGAATACAGACTAACACAGCTGCTACTCTGAAACCTGTCAATGTAATCATGTCACTTAATAGGATGGCAGCACAGCATTTACAACTAAACATACCAGTTATAACAGGGGGGCAACAACAAATTCTATATTTACATTGCTTAGCATTTTCTATTATAATTTTTTCTTACAATTTTTGGAAGAACTGTAGTGCCTCCATTATTTTCAGCAAGAACCTGAAACTTGGCAGGGATGCTGTTAAAATGTATTAAGCTAATATACAACGGTGCAGAATTAGGGTTCCACAGGTAACTTTAATTCTGGCATTTCCTAACTTTGGAGTGCTTGACTTTGCAACTTCAATAACATTCTTTTAATATAGGGTTGGTTGATTTGTTTGAGTAAGTTGTGTGTACTGAAATGGAAACAAGATTTCAAAAGAGAAAATTTGAAACTGGAAGCATATGAAGTGAAACTGAATATAAATTCACAGATTTTAAAGCTAGAAGAGAACATTATGACAATCTAGCCTGACCTCTTGCATAACATCGAGAGTAGAATTTCACGAAGTCCTTCCCACATCAAGCCCATAACTTCTGGTAGAACTGAAGCATATCTTTTAGAGGAGCATCCAATCTGATATAAATGTTTCAAGTGACTGAGAATCCATCCCATTCCTAGGTAAATTGTTCCAATGGTTAATTATCCTCACTCTTAAAAGTCTGTGCCTTATTTCTAGTCTGAATTTCTCTAGTTTCAGTTTTCAACCATTTGATCTTGTTATGCCTTTGTCTGCCAAACTAAAGAACCCTCTGCTATCAGAAGTCTTCTTCCTGACATGCATTGCATCTGGGATCAGCGATGACTGAGAATACCATACGCGTTTTACTGAAGAATGCTATTGTGTGTTTGTTTCTGCTTGCGGTCACTCATATTTATATTTGAGATTTCTAGAGCAAAGATGTATCTTCTCACTTGACAAGATGGCTTTAGATCAACCATTAATCCATCAGCCTCTTTAGGGCTGAAGCTATCTTGATTTACAGTACAATCATTATAATTTAGATGATATTTAAATTCAGGTTATAATTAAATCCCACCTTTGGGTCCACGAGTTATGGAGAGCAATCCACTGTAATCAAGGGAGAGTCTTCCATTGATTTCAATGGTGCAGGATAAAGCCCTATATTCATAAACTAGGTGAACACACATATGAACTTGGTAGGGGCATAAAACTCCACATAGTACATAAAACTCCACATAGTATTGATCCAACATTGTAATATGACATCTATGTCAGTGATGAACAGCAAGTGCCAAGGCCCAATCCCCCAATCCTTACTCAGGCAAAATTACAACTTCATTGGAAGTTTTGTCAGCATAAAGACATATGTTTTGCTTCCCTGATGTATGTAGCCTGATGGAATACTAGTGATGACTCCAGAATTATGTCTAAAATTGATTGTGTGTGTGTGTGAGAGAGAGAGCTTTTATGTAACAATGATGTGCCATGCTAGGGCCCTATTCTTCAGATTGGAATTAAGGCATACATTTTTAATGGTGAGAGTAATTAAGCATTCGAACAATTTACCAAGGGTCATGGTAGATTCTCCATCTCTGACAATTGTTAAATCAAGATTGGATTTTTTTAAAAAAGCTGTGCTCTAGGTATTATTTTGGAGTTATGTGATCACAATGGTCCCTTCTGGCCTTTGAACCTATGAATCTATGAACTTGTGCGTGTGTGTTTCTAGTGGACTCCTATGGGGAATGGTTCTTGGCCCTAAGCTATTTAACATTTTTATCAGTGACCTGGAAGAAAACAGAAAATCATTACTGATAAAATTTGCTGGTGATAGATATTGGGAGTGGTAAATAATGAAGAGGACAGGGCACCGATACAGAGTGATCTCGATGTCTTGGTAAGCTGGGCGCAAGCAAACAATGTATGTTTTAATATGGCCAAATGTAAAGTCATACATCAGAATGTAAACTATTCTTACAGGATGGGGGACTCTAATCTGGCAAGCTGTGACTTAAAAGAACTTTGGGGGTCATGATACATAATCAGTTGAACATGATCTCGCAATGTGATGCTGTAGCCAAAAGGGCTAATGTGATCCTTGGGTATATATATGGGAATATCAAGTAGGAGAAAAGAAGTTATATTACCTTTGTATTTGGCACTGGTGTAACTGCTACTGGAATAGTGTGTCCAGTTCTGGTGTACACACCATAAGGCTAGGCAGCCGTTCTGCAGAAAAAGACCTAGGGGTTACACTGGACAAGAAGCTGGATATGAGTCAACAGTGTGCCCCTGTTGCCAAGAAGGCTAAAGACGTTTTGGGCTGTATAAGTAGGAGCATTGCCAGCAGATTGAGGGACATGATCATTCCCCTGTATTCGGCATTGGTGAGGCCTCATCTGGAGTACTGTGTCCAGTTTTGGGCCCCACACTACAAGAAGGATGTGGAAAAATTGGAAAGCATCCAGCGGAGGGCAACAAAAATGATTAAGGGGCTGGAGCACATGACTTATGAGGAGAGGCTGAGGGAACTGGGAATATTTATTCTGCAGAAGAGAAGAATGAGGGGGAATTTGATAGCTGCTTTCAATTATCTGAAAGGGGGTTCCAAAGAGGATGGAGCTAGACTGTTCTCAGTGGTAGCAGATGACAGAACAAGGAGCAGTGGTCTCAAGTGAAT